ACCAGCCACCACACAGACAAAAAGCTGATAATAATGAGTATAAACAAGGAGTCCAAGTTTTAGAAAGCTGTTTCGGAGAAGTTAGAAATATCAGCCAGCCAGTCTCAATACAGCCAACTACGTGAAAGTTGATGAAAAGTGCTACACCTCAACAAGCTAGAAAATCCAGATCCCAGAATTCATCCCCACATCTGCCCGAAATTTCAGATTATAAGGCACAAAACATACAGTTTGACCACAGGTCCATTTTAATGAAAACTCGTATAGTTATAGTTCATATTGTGGTAATCAAGTGTTCCAATGGGCGCAAAGCCCAGAAATGTCTTTTATTATAGATACGGGCTTGGTGCAGCAGACTGAGTATTTTAGAAATGTATCTTCGGAAAACATGTTTAATAACGTATAAATAGTTTTCTTTGATAATCTTTTATTTAAGGACAATAACACTGGACAACAAATTTTAGTTTTTTAATTGTATCTTGTGGGAAAAGTGCACTTCTTTGCTAATTTTGGGGCGCTGAATCCAAAAATGACAATGAAATAAAAAAATTAGTTGCGGTTTAGAAAAAAAAACTTTTTATTTTTAAGGATATATTAAAAAAGTAACAAGATTCATATACTTATAAGAATCACTATATGCGCTGTCTTTTTGCTTTTCTTTTATGGATCGTTTCTGGAGCATCTCTTCCAAGAGTCCAACAGTAGTCTGCAAGGATGGAAGGATTCCACTTTCCCTGGTACCTTTTTCCATTGTTGAAATATCCTGATGAAAACGTTCGCCGTGCTCATCACTTACGGCTCCGCAATTGTCAGGAAAAAAGTCCAGGTGTGAGTGTAGGAAATGTATCTTAAGAGACATATTACAGCCCATCTTTTGATACGATGACAGCATATTTTTGACAAAGGTTTTGTAGTTGTCAGCTTTTCTATTTCCCAAGAAATTAGTGACCACCAGACGGAAATCATTCCAAGCAGTTTTTTCAATACCTGTTAAAGTGTCTTCAAACTGTGTATCTTTCAAAATATTTCGAATCTGTGGCCCAACAAAAATACCTTCTTTAACCTTTGCCTCACTTAGTCTTGGAAATTTCTGACGCAGGTATTGAAAAGCTGACCCATCTCTATCTAATGCCTTGAAAAAGTTTTTCATTAGGCCCAACTTGATATGCAGTGGTGGTAATAAAATTTTTTTCGAATCTACTAATGGCATATGCTGTACATTTTTTTGACCTGGCTCTAGGAATTGACGAACAGGCCAGTTTTGTCTGGTGTAATGAAGTGCCTTTGCCCGACTGTCCCATTCACACAAAAAACAGCAAAACTTTGTGTAGCCTAGCTGCAGCCCAAGTAAAAGTGCAACAACTTTCAAATCGCCACAAATATGCCATTGGTGCTCATCGTATTTTATGCATGTCAATAGGTACTTCATATTGTCATATGATTCTTTCATGTGAACTGCATACCCTACAGGAAGAGATGGTAAAATATTTCCAATATGCAATAACACTGCGTTTAAACTCAATGTCTATAAACAATCTCCATTCTTCTGGGTTATAGTTTATATTTAAAGCCGCCAGTAAGCCGTTAATGTTACTGCAGAAAACCAAGTTATTCTCCATATTGAAAAATGGTTCTAAGTCTTTGTGGCGTTTACGAAAAACACATACCGAAACATCGTCTTCTAACAAGTTCCACTGCTGCAGTCTTGATCCACGTAACTCTGCCTTACATTTTGGAAGTTCTAAATCTCTTACAAGATCATTTAATTCTGACTGTGTTATTTTGTGCGGCTAGTGGCATGACGTGCTCGGTATAAAATCAGGTTCTCTTGACGTTGATGGCATATCTTCTTCCTGACGAATCACTCGATTGCCATGATCTGATTCGTTTTCTGATTCGCAAGTGTAGGTTTCTGGGGGCTTTGGAATATGATTTTCGTCACTGTGAGGCACAGGTCTCATCGTGGATGGTATGTTTGGGTAGTTAATAACCGATTTTTTTTTCTTAGACATACCTGTGGCTTGTCCAACACAAGGTACCATGCAAAAGTAACAATCATTAATATGATTTGTAGACTCTCTCCAAACCATTGGGACAGCAAAAGCGCATAGACCGTTTTTTGCCATTTAACCAGCTCCTCAGACTTGAAGCACATGTATTACAGCAGATGTGGGGTGCCCACTGTTTGTCTTGATCACCTAGCTTATAACCGAAATAAAGCTGATATGCCTTTGTTATTAGTGGAGTAATAGACCGTCTCTGAGACGCAAAAGTCACATCACCACACACGTAACAAAACTGATCTGGATTGTTTACACACTTTCGAGACATCTTGCACGAACGCTGTCAGCCAACTCAGGAAAAAATGCCTAATATAAAACAATATAATGTACACGTATGTATAACGTAACACAATCATGCCGATTACATCATCTTTCCTTGCCGAATATAAAAATGTAGCACGTGCATTCTTGTGAATTACAGTATATTAACACTGTCACAGCAGGAACACATATAATTACCGTATCTCTAAAACTTGAACTAATATTGAAAAAATAAGTTTCATTCCGGTTTTAGCACATTAAAAATAGTAATATTTTGTTGATTTTATTTAGGATATTTTTTGGCTGTTGATCAGGGTAATCGCTTCTTGCATGTTTGGGATGCCCTGTATATAATGGAAACTTTTCACAGGGTGGTACGAGCTCATGAGAAGTTCTTGTTAGGATGCTCGGGAGAGCTTATTGACAGAGTTTGGGCAATATTCACCGGGGACTGATTTCCGTAAGGTTTGTGCCTCTCCTTTGCCGGACAGAATTACAAACATATTTGATCTTTAATTTTAGTGTAAAAAAATTGGAAATTGGATATTTACTAATTTCAAAACATTACCTCTTTAATATGTCATAATCAGGCTGTCGAATTCCAAAAATGCAACATGCAATTTGCCAGACACTATGACTGTTTGATTATGTAAATAATTACGGAAAACAAAACAACTATATACCAGGTGTTTTCAAAGTTGAGTCATTTATTTTATCTGCTTGTAGGACTCGTCAAAAGGAGTTGATATACCTAAAACCACCTGTATAAAAGAAATAGTAAAAGATTAAGAATTTAAAAAAATAAGAATGTTGTTACACAGATTTTTTGATATTCTTTAATAGTGCGTATACTTTTATTTGTGCGAAAAAATGGCCAATGTTTACGAAAACAATGAACTAGTGGACATAATACTAACATACGAATAGTGCCAACAAAATGCAGCCGCAGTATGCAGGGTGTATGCGGAAAGGTTTCCTTTAAGAAATCATCCGGCCCAACGGATGATTGTAAATTTAGTTATTAGACTTCGTGACACATGATACGAGGGCTGTTTGATAAGTCAGTGACTTTTTAAATAAAAAAATGTTTTTCGGCAAATAAGCACTTTATTTCTCAACATAATCTTTTAGCTCGATACATTTAGTCCAGCGTTTTTCCAATTTCTTAATTCCTTCCGAAAAGTAGTTTTTATCAAGGCTCTCAAAATATGCGTTTGTTTCAATGATGACCTCTTCATTCGACCAACATTTCTTACCACCCAGCCATTTTATCAGGTTTGGAAATAGGGAGTAGTCGCTGGGGGCTATATTTGGATGGGGCAGCAGTTCGTAGCCCAGTTCATGGATTTTTGCCATCGAGACTACACACGTGTGTACCCGTGCGTTGTCTTGATGGATTTTTTTTCCCAAATGCGGTCGTTTCTGCTTCAAAGCAACGTTGAATCTTTCTAACTGCTCTGAATAGAACTCTCCCGTGATCGTTCTGCCCTCTCAAGGTTATCGATGTTAATGATACCGCATGCGTCCCAGAAAACTGTGGCCATAACCTTGCTGGCTGACAGACCCACCTTGGCCTTCTTTGGAGCACGCTCACCATGTGAAACTCACTGTCTTGATTGTTCTTTGGTTTCTGGTGTATTGTGATGATTCCATGCTTCGTCTACAGTTACAAAACAGTGCCAAAATTCGTGTGATGCCTACAGCCTCAGCTACTTCACGGATTTTTATTCTCCGGTCATCCAATATCGTCCCATGGATCTTATCCACGATTTCTGGTGTGATGATCTCTTTTGGGCGACCTGAACCACTTGTGCTGGTTCGACCACAACGGACCTCAGTAAACCACTTCTTCACCATTGAACTAGATGGTGCAGCGTCCCCATAGTACTTATCAAGCCTTTCCTTGGTTGCAGTGATGTTTTTTTACGCGAAAAATAATGTTTAATTAGAACCCGAAATTCACTCCATTTTTGTTAGAATTTATGAGACTGTCTACTTTCAACGGCTGTCAAACTCAATTATCAAACGGCCGTCGTATTTAAGAGAACAACGACAAGTCACGCTGGATGACCTGGTCAACCTAAAATGTTAAGATGTTAAGATAAATGACTCAACTTTGAAAACAATCTGTATAAATTGGTAACCATTCATAAAATTTGAAGGGTTATGGATTTTTCCACTTGCAAAGGCAGCAGTTTCGAAAGAAAAGATAAAAAGTCCTCAGACTCGCCAAAAGCAAGCTGTGTGCAAGTATAACGTATATTAACCATTCAATAAAACGGGTTATGTACTGTGGACTATTCCCACAGTTTCTCAGTTAACTAACACAGCAATTCTGATCATTGTAAAGTTCATGGTCCCATTTTGTTCATCTTATATGTACCTTTATTTTCCTAACCCACTTGTGACTTTTGTCATATTAAATTAATTTCTTTATCTACATCTAAAAACGTTTCTAATCTCAGGAGAATAAAACGACATTTTTCTTTCAATCGAAGCCACTTTTCGTTGAACATACATAGTTTCCACCTATCCAAATATTAACTTCCGAAAATCCAGATAAGCAATACCCTTAGGTAATTGCAGGATGAAAAACAAACTGATAATTACTGACTGATTCTTGAGGAAATCATATAAATCTTCAATAAACTTTTAATATAAATTCTACTAACCATACTAACCACTTAGTGACAAATCGCTATTCTCCCCTTCTGTTACCAGTTTCCAACCGTGTCCAACATTGTGCAAAGTCTGCCTAATCTTATCCGTGATATACACCCCCTTGAGCTGTGGCAGCGTAGCTTGAACTGCCTTTTTAATTGGGATATCGATGGGACTTTGCCTTTTTCCTGCAGCTGCAGGGTACTTGATATACCATTTTTGGGGACCCTTCTCTTCACCGTAGTCCCAGTCGGCCATTGTATTGAATCTGGCGTTGAGACTCGTGATATTTGGTGGTATGACAATACCGATGCAATAGCATTCACATAAAGTGACAAAGACACTGAATTGACAGTAACAGCGAATATATACAGAGTGCTAGAACTATATCAAATATTGATAGTTTATGGTAGAATATGTCTGTTAGCTGTGATCTTCATAATATTCTAGTGATAGATTTGATATAAAAAATATACTTCGAAAAACCGCAACCACAACAGGCTCCTTTTAATTCGAGCGGTACGGACAGAATGATCGTGGAACGGCGGATCACCGGCGGGCCGACCGTGGGCACTCTAAATATACAGGGTGGCGCATCGAAAACGAAAGATTTACTGGCAGCTCAGTTTTTTGGGGTAGACGCTCAGACCCGTCGATTTTGTTTTCGGGGGACACAAGTTTGGCATACAATCACGTTAACATGTGCAGTCCCCTGGGCGGGGGTGACACCAACCCTAAAATCTTGGATGGAAAGGGGGGTCGAGTGAAGGTCTTTCTATTCCCTTTATAATGATGTAAAATACATGCGCTTCAGTTCAGTAGTTTTGAAGACTTATTGATTTAAAGCTTAAAGTAGACTTTAATAGGTACATCAGATTAGTTTGTACTACTTTCAGAAGAAATTTGACTAAAATAATTTACTTAATAAGCAAATGCTTTTCTTCATTTCGCTCATGGTTTTTTTATCATTTTGTTATTGAAAATAGCTATTGTAGCGTTTTTTTGTGGCAAAAAATTTATTTCTTGAAGAAAGGTTAGGAAATATATCGTACTTATTTTAAATAGGAATTTAGTACATAGTTTGAGATAGATTTAACCAAACTTTGTTGCTAAAATAACTTGCAATGCTTCATTACATAAATTAACCATGGTCTATTCCACAGCAGAAAGAGTTGAAATTATCGAAATATTTTTCGGAAATGAATGTGCTAATAGAACAGCAGACATATTTAATGAGCGAGATGAGAACAGTAACGTACATCGAAAATATGTTCTACAACTCGTAGCTAAATTTCGGGAAACTGGGTCAGTCGCCAATAAAAAACGCAATATTGAAAATCCCATAAGGAACGAAGCAATAGAGGTGCGGGTTTTAGGGCAAGTTTATGTAGATCCTACGTTAAGTACCCTCAAATTGGAGACTGTGTGTGGTGTTAGTCGACGGATTCTAAGGGTCCATAGTTTTCATCCGTATAAAATTCACCTGGTACAAGAACTTAATGAAGACGATTTTGATCGGCGATTACAATTCTGTGAAGATATGAGTGAACGAATTATAAACGATGAACATTTTCTATTCAACACTTGCTTTTCCGACGAATGTTCCTTTTTCTTAAATGGCATAGTAAATCGTCATAACAAGAGGTTCATACACAGCAGCCACAAAAATTAAATGTTTGGGCTAGTATTTTTGGCGATCATTTAGTTGGTCCTTTTTTCTTACCAGAAAATTTGATCGGTGAAATGTATTTGGAATTACTGCAAGACGCCATAGATCCTGCATTAACAGCCATAATTGAAAATCAGAATGATGGGCGGTACATTGCGAATAGGTTGATGTTCCAACAGGATGGTGCCCCACCACATTACGCATTACGTATTCGACAATATTTAGATCAGACGTTTCCAGATCAATGGATTGGTAGAAGAGGTGCCATTGAATGGCCCCCAAGATAGCCAGATTTATCAACTTTGGATTTCTTTATGTGGGGTCATTCAAAAAGCAAAATCGATGCTACTCAGCCAGCGTCATTAGAAGACCTGCGACAAAGAACTGTGAATGAGTGCCTTCAAATTACTCCTCAAATATTGCAAAATGTGCGGCAACGTTTTGGTCAAAATCTCTATTATTGCATAGAGAGTCATGGCAGCCATTTTCAACATTTACTTGCCTAACGGGTCAGTTCATTTTTTATTTTTAAATTACTCTGTTGCCAAATGTATTGATCTCCACTAATGATGATGTATTAGTTATAAACCACTGAACTGAACTACATTAATTTTATATCATTATAAAGGAAATTGAAAGACCTTTAAAATAAGGTATCACTCGACTCCCCTTTCCATTTAAGATTTTGGGGGTGGTGTCACCCCCGCTTAGGGGGCTGCACGTGCTATCATGATTTTTTGCCAAACTTGTGTCCCTCGAAAACAAATTCGACGGGTCTGAGCGTTTTTAAAAAAAAAACTGATCTGCCAGTAAATGCGTCTGTTTCGTTTTCGATGCGCCACCCTGTATATTAAGTATGATCATGATCATAAGTTTGCGCTCGGGGATTTTATAATTTTGATTCTGACACTATATAATTATTCACGGATTTGGTTCGTATCTTTATCATATGGAACATGCCGATATTTCTAGGGCAGAAAGTACAAACAAAATAACAAAAAAAGTTCCTCTAAATATGGGTCCTAAAATGCTCCCTTACCGAGAGAGGATGATGAAGTTTTATTTACAAAATCAAAACAACAATACACACACAGAATTTCCCGGCACAAACGAAACCAGTGACGTAACAATTGGGGTACCTGGACCCCTGGTATGAACTATTTTCTACGCCACTGGCACGCATTATTCCGCATAGCCATAAACATTAGCTAATGAATACATAAATGCTAATATGTCTATGAATTGAATCAAAGCTTTCCCATTATCCATTCTCTCAGTTTTTCTTTAGAATGTTTAATAACGAAATATTTACTGTCGTATCAGGCAATTCAGAGTAAATACATGGTGCTATGAAATGTAAAGCTCTTTAACCTGGTCTTTTTTTTGGTAAAAAATACCTATTCTTTTTTTCTTGAACCTTGTACTGTGATAGTGGAGATGGGTATCAACGTTTGCCTATTTGTGTTATATAAAAATCTTATTAGCGAAACGCTGCCGGGGATCCATCCTTTTTGACTCAGTATATTTATATAGTTGTAGTCAAATCTTAATCTTCAGCGCATCTGATACTCTCCAGTACGCATGAAGTGGGTAACAGGAGACCGCTGCTTTCATTCTCTACCTGGAAATACTCTAATAATTTTAGCACGAGCAATCCGCCTTCTCCATTGATTGTATTTCCGGGCATTGTACAATTTTATATTGAAGATTGATAACAGGATAACTCGAATTGCATGCCGATGCCAAGTAAGTTGTCACTCTGACAAATACGATTGAAGGTCACTCATACATAATGACAAAGTTTTCGAGACAACGACACACAAAAACACACAAAAAACGTATGACTTCGAGCTGACCCAACAAACGTTCACACACAGGAGTAGGCTGCATGTGGATGTATGAGGGAGATGGAGCTAGATAAAGGAATAATGGTAGTCTTACTTTGACTTACCAAGAATTGTTCAAGGCAAGTTTTATATATGCCTCCCCATCCATCAATTCCGTATTCTATAATAGATTCCATCTGGACTACATACACCATTTTCAATTTTGAAGATTTATATAAAATTGTTCTCATATCAACCCCCCAATATCGGATATGATCTGCCTCTTTAGTCAATATCCTTTTGACAAAATGTTCAATCTTCTGAACTCCGGAATGGTTACTGTGGTGCATGTAAAGAGGATATACCTTATTTTTTCGAAATTTATGGCTAGGTACATGTTGCTGAACCAGTCCGAAATACATTTAATTTCTCTTTACGTGACCTATTTGACTTCTTTCCGTGGTGCACGGGATGTTCAAATGAAAACTTACATTACGTCTTTTTCCGCGGTACCTTCTAACATGTGCTCGTCTATTGTGCATTCCTAAATAGAATGAACACCGATGACATTTTTTTGATAACTGGTGATGAGTCTTAGTTCTCTTTAGAACTGCATGATACAGGTCGGTAGGCGACGCGGAGTAAGACGTAATGTAAATTTTCAGTCTAACGCTGTGGTTGAACCACACGTATATCATACTGTAAAAGTTATAGTACTAGGATACTAAGCTACCTCTAGTTCCTTTTAGAGGTGGTATGACGTCAAAATATATATACAGAAAATACTGGAGCCTCATTATTTCCATTCCAGCGATCAGCAAATACTTTCACTTCAAAATTCGTTCAACACTTTCTCTAATCTATGTCCAACTATACGAAACTTCATTCAAGTAAAGCTATTTTAACTAGGTATTCCATTCTCTTTGTCATTGAGCATATGTATGAAAATATTCGATGTACCTATCTATTCAGCCTTACCAAATACTCTGCTATTGCGTCTCAGCTTGAACGTTTCTCAAACTGAAAATCACTTCCTTTTCCACATATCGGAGCTTACTTACTGTCATATATCATATATTTTTCTACAGCTATTTCCTTTCAACTGTTCCAAATGGAACATACATACATTTGAATATACAAAGGTGGTTTATTCAGAAAAGTATATTTTACCATTTTGAGGCTTTCCTGTTGAACATGTCCTTCGTCTCGACAGCGTTGTTCGACAGGCTTTGCGTCATCGTCACCCTACCCGAACAAGCATGACAAATAGGTTTACTCAAATATATCTATCACAGCCAACAAGACGCCGGCCGTATTTAGAGCAAACGCCGGTATGATGGATCTACATCGGATCTAATTGGTGTTCGTTTTGGTATTTTCCATGACCGTCGAGGGTTGTTCTGTTTTTCAACACTGACGAGGCGTTATTCTTGAGCCTTTAAGAACACTTTAGTTTCCATCATAGTATGTATGTTTAACTGACCGATTTGTCTCTTATATATGTCTCTAATATATACTAAGTGACATATAAATCCGAACACCCAGTTTTAATGGTTTTATTTTAATAAAAGTTGGTGAATACTGTAAATAACAAGTGAAAAAATGTTCAGCCTTATCAGTTGGACATTCCGGTTTTTATACTGCTTTTTTTTAATTCACTAACGCTCTAAAAATGAATATTTCAGCCGCAGTAAAGAATCAACGTTGGCGGATTTTGGTTCTTGACATCCTTTACGATCGGTTACGATGCCTAGAGTACGGAGACCTGTACGATTTCGTCAACTTAGTGAGTTTGATAGGGGCCGTATAGTGGGACTTCGGGAAGCTGGACTTTCTT